CTGGGGCACACTTTATATTCCGGCTCTAGCTCGTCGGCTTTGGGGGTGGTGGTCTTGCTCACCCAGATCTCGTTCGACGACTACACTTAGTTATTAATAAGACAAGAAATGAGGGTGCTGCGACAAAACAATAGCTAGAAGTTAAACTGAAGAACGATAAACAAAATTCACACTAAGAAGAAAAGTCAGAAGAGAACAGGAAGTAGAGAAAACAGTAGAAAAGACAGAGAGAAAATTACATCACAGACACGGATGTTATAGTGCTCGCTTTGTGCCCACCCAACCTATAATCACCTGCCGGAAGAGCATGGCTCTGGTGACCCCTTAGTGAACCCTACGACCGTGGGGTCATCCTACGAGTCGGTAAATATAAGGTTTTAGGCTTCCATGATTTTAGAAATTTATATATACAGATTTAATGTAAATTTAAAACTTAAAGCTAATATAAAAGAGATAAGTATGAGCTAAAGATAAAATGGAAAATATAAAAGAGGTGCATGTGTACGTATGTAAGTATTTTAAAATTGTTAAAATTTAAAAGAAATGTTCCTGCATCTTTTCGGGAGTTTAATTTAAATCAAAATTTATGCTTAAATGTTGTTTTGACTTTAACTTGCTTAAGTTTAGGAATAGTGACTTCATGTCTTTTTATTTCGTAATTTTTAATTTCAGTTGTTGCAGTAGTTTATTCATTTAGTGTATTTAAACTTCTTTTTTTAATGTTCTCATTTTTATAGATTTTTATATTCATTCATTCGAATCAATAACATCGGTTCAACTCACTCAATTTATCCTTCGGCGAAGATCGATCTCCCTCGGTGATCTTACTATTTTGTTTACATAATTTTATTAAAATCGGACTACTATATCCTATAGCTCCCATAGGAACGATCGAGAAATTAATAAAATTAAAAATTATACCTTTTTCGGTTTTCAAGTGAATGTGATCAAATTTGTGATATAGCCATTTCATATTACTCTACAAGTTTGTGTACAATTTAATGAAAATCTGACTACTATATCCTATAGCTCCCATAGGAATCAAGATCAAGAAGAAATTAATAAAATTAAAAAATTATTGCTTTTTCAGTTTTCAACAGAATTTGATCAAATTTTAGATATAGCCATTTCATATTACTCTACAAATTGTTGTAAAAATCGGATTACTATATCATACAGCTTCCATTGGAACGATCGAGAAATTAATACATTTAAAAATTATTGGTTTTTCAGTTTTCAAGTTCGAATTGGCCGAATTTTGTTCCAATCCTATCTTCATTACACTTTTATCCTACCGCTATGCAACAACGGAATTTTTAACTTATAATTGTAAAGTAATATAAAATTTAAATTATTCTAGTATAAATGCGAGTATAAAATATAGTAAAGCTTAAAAAAAACGTAGTAAAATGTTAACAATTCATCATAATTTCTCGTGTAATTTTTTGGCTTCATTAAACTCAGGAAAATCGCAAGCAGCATGTTATATCTAATCGAGGATAATTTCAAAAAGAATTCGAACGGCAAAATTAACAGCAGTTTTCTTTGGTTAAAATTTCACAAAGTGTTTCAGAATAAATTTGTCGAAGAAAATCGAAAAAATGAAGTGGCCAATTGGGCTTAAAGGGTAGAAACCCATTTAATATTTGTTCAACACTTATGGAGGTTAAGACCGCTAAGGTCGAATAAAGGTCAAATTTCACAAGGGGTCATTTCCCCGGTTACGGAATCAAAATTTTAACCGAAAAGAAAATTAATCATCTCTCCAACGGCGAAACTGGCCAGTAAGACGAATGCGCATCCGCGCTGGCCAGAAGTTAATTCAGCATCTTCTCCTCTTGTGCTGGATTAGCTCCCCTTCACTTTATACCCCCTCAGATTACGGGTGTCCCTTGCCTTGGGACTTAATCTTCTGGTGCAGGACCCAATCTGTAATTTTTTTTAATTCACAGTGAGCACTGCATAAAATGAACACTGTATTTCAATATTTACCCACTGGCTGAGCCCTGGTACCAAAAATTTAGATTTTGCCCTTCGGCGAAAGGTCTCTTCGGCCCTTGGCACTGGCCGTGGATTGGCGCTGCTTCGCTGCCTCCGCTTTTTTAAACCTTTTTGATCTGTACGACAAAAAGGGTTATTTACTGTGCCTACAACTTTGCACTCCTATACTCACTTTTAAGTAGAGCTTTTAGCGGCCACTTTACCGAATAATTTTTCGAATAACCGAGTCAAAAAATGCGAGTCACTGGCACTTTAAGCTAATGTTAGCTCTTATAAGAACTTCTTTACGTGTATGCACTCCCAGATCTCGATCTAATTTCCTAATTGGACTCTAAGCTTATATTTTCTAACGCAACTCTGAGCTCGCTGTTATAATTGCCCGAAACGCGTTTTGGGCGAAGTGCAGTTCTTGCATTCGGCACGTGTATTCAAGCTTGCTTAAAGCTTCGTTACATTACTGCACACACAGCTTTACGTTATCTGTGAAATTAGTTAAGCTAGGCTTAAAACTCACATAAAGGGATCTTCTTTTCTTTACGTTATCTTTATGACCTTTACGTCATTGACAACAATAGGAAAGCTTGGCTTAGGCCTTACGTAAAGTATAGCATTCTGTTAGGCCAACTTTATCTTTCAGGGTCTTCAGGCGCCACTACAAGACTAACTACAAAGTTTCATTCAGATAGCTTAAAAAATGAGAGACTAGTTTGCGTAAAAACGGACAGACGGACATGGCTAGATCGACTTGCCTGTTGATCCTAATCAAGAATATATATACTTTATATGGTCGGAGGTGCCTCCTTCACTGCGTTGCAAACTTCTGACTGAAATTATAATACTTTGCAAGGATAGAAAAAGGCGGACGAATACTAAGAAACAGATATGGGTAAATCGATAAATGGAAAAGGAACTGACCCAACAAGTAAGAACTTATCACGTAGCCACGTATTAGGTTATATACGAAGGTAATACCTAACATGGTTTTACTGTTGTCAACAGAAGGTAAGTTAATTAGGGAAATTTAAATCGCGTCGAGCAAAAGGAGGAAGCTCGATGAGCTGTGTTAGTTGTGGATCCTATAAACGCAAGGATTTGGTAACATATGTAGGCGTCATTAGCTTTCTTCGATCACGGTTTAATAAGCTCTATTCACCGTGTACCAAATATTATTTTATATGAAAATTTCTTTCTAACGCAAAGCACACAAGACACGTTTATCTTAGATATTTCCAATTTATTTTGAAGATTTTAATTATTCTTATACTAAAGTCAAACTAAATCTATGGTTGCCTTGCTTAATTTTATATACCATTATGTTCTTATAAGTATAAAATAAGGTTTTCCTTAAACTGCGTAGCACTACTTATATTTTTTAAAGAGTTTGGTAGTTGGTTTGGTAATAGATTAAAAATTTCTGTTCAAAGTGCAGAGATCTGCGTTTGATTTGTGTAAAATTTTTTGCTCTTTGTTAATTTGAAAACCTAAGTTTTCAAAGAGATAGTTTGGTTCCTAAGTAAAATTATTTTTTGTAAATACACTAACTCCCTCACTTTCATCCAGTCTTCCAGGTGAATCTCAAATATTTTGTATGCAAATATGGTGACATGATTATATCGCTGCAGATTAGTAGATGGGATTCCTAACAACCGGGACAGCTTTGATCTTTTTATCTCTAATTAGGATCATTTATTAGATAAATTAGGCTTATCTGACACCTGTCACCCCCTTCAAAGGGTAGGGTGATACATTGAATGAATGGTGTGAGGACCCGTGAGAAACGTGTGTGGAAGCGCTACCGCCACGAAGACGCAGTCGATCCGTGATCAATCACAAAATATTGACTGGAGGGTTAAAAAGCCATTTGCCACCTGTGCACTCACGCCCTTTTAAGAATAAACAAAAAGGTCAGACACGAATCGATCATCATCCAAGAGGGATGGAGGCTGAAAAGGTCACATAGCACCTGTACCTGCAGACACCTGTGATCGATAAAAAGGTCTCGATACGAACGGAAGCCCTTGGGTGTGCACGTATGGACACGCTCACCAACGATCCCTCAATTCGAAAAAGGTCTGCAATTAAAACACTACCAATGAAGGCAAGAGGCATTAAGCCTAAACCACCCCCTTTGCTTATATACGAAGGCATCAAATTGGTACATTCAATTCATTCATAAACGCAGAATCCTAGAGCCCAAGAATTCACTTTCAGTTTGTACTCTAACCCATCAAGGCGGTGTTCACCTCGTTCTAAAAAACTCTACAATTTTTAAAGTGAAACTTTTTAAAAGTGGAATAATAAAATATGATTCAACAATTAAAGAAAAAATAAACACATAATATAATAAACAAAAGCAACATATTTATAAACATTTGAAAACTAAAAAACTATAAAAATTAAATTATCACATAGATTTAGAAGATCATCATGAATTCCCACAACACCAACATCACCAACAGCGCTTACGATATACTGCCGAGAAAATCTGCCTGAGGGTTTAGAATGGAAACATCACATCAGTACAGAAACATAAAGCAAATTTTTTATGGATTCAGGGGCTGCAGTCAGAAATGAATTCCTTAGTGTAGCAGCCCTCGCATTGATCCCTCATATTGAACGGGTGATGAACTCCCGCATGTCACTCGCGTGGGAAGGAAGTCATTTCAAGGAAAAATAACGTTAATTACATCAGCATCAAATTTGACGGCATACTTCAATTTTGTACTGCCAAAAAATCTCGAAAAAAGAAATGCAGTTAATTATGTACAAAACAATATTCAATATTGTTTTAAATGGACAAATATATCCTACTTTTCGTATATTGAAAAGCTCCAACGATGCTCCACATATAAAGTGGACATTTCAGCAGATGCACATCGTTAAAAAACACTCCCTTTTGTTGTGCAGAGGTAAGGGTACAATATAATTTTAAGAATGGCAGTTCATTGCTATTTTCTTTTATAAATAAATAAATAAATAAATAAATGTAATATGCTTACGTTTTCCAGTGCACTGGGGTCAAACGATGTAAAATAGTGCACGGTGCAAGATCCATGCATTAGCATAAATGTGTTTGGATTTAATGAAGGTACAAAAAAAGTAATTGCACCAATTTTCTCCGATGCAGTGAAAAAGGAATTCCACATAAACTTGTTATTTGTGGATGAACCAACTGCCAACATACCAGAACATTACGTATGGATTAAAAATATGTCAAGATTTGTACTAATTTACAGAAAAAAAAAAAATATATTGTAAACCTCGTAGGCCATTGTTTAATAAAAACAGCGCGGGATGGTTTAAATTTGTATAGTTCTCTTATTTTTTCTTATTGTCCCATCGTGTCCTTTTTTAAAAGTGACCGTCTCCTTTTTTCTTAAAATCTTGCATTTACATCGGGGACTTATCGATATATTATTTACGTTACGGTGTCATATATTATAATAATGAGGTTACACTAAGGCGCGTAGTATATGATGTTTACATTCGGCCAACCTGACACTTGATCGACCTCGATCATACCCACAATCCTATAGTTTTATTACACACTTGCAACCACGGTTTCAGCCTAACAGCTTTAAGGATTCCCTTATATGGGAGTTGCGTCAGTTGACAATTATCTAAATCTGTTATTTCATAACGGTCGTTGGGAAATACTCGATATACTTTATATGGGACGCGATACTTAGGTGCAAACTTTTTACAATGTTCTAAAGTCACATCGACATTGAGAATAGCAACAAATTCGCCTACATCATACAACGGAGGTGCCTTATGCCTTAATCTGTGTGCAGATTCATTTCGGATTTGTGACTGGCGTATACTATTATTTGCCTCGTCCCTTACGGTATCCAAACATCGCGGGTTTGTCAAACTAAATTTATCTTCAAAATACTCAGTTAGCTCATCCACTACTGGGCCACGCTGCTCGCATCCGAATAGTAACACACTAGGAGTCTTTCCGGTACTACACTGAACGGAGTTGTTTATAGCAAATTCAATACTGTTAAGTAACTTATACCAATCGCTTTGATTCAAAGACTCTGATAGCTTTCCCAGCATGGGAGTTAGAACACGGTTCACCTGTTCAACTTGCCCATTTGCCTGCGGGGCCGCTGAGGTCATTTTAATATGCTCGATATTTGTAGACTTTAGGAATGCTCTATAAGAAATGATTTTACGGGGTCGACTATAGTATTCGAAATATTTCTCTAAGGAACAGTTCACTTCTCTAGTACTGGTACAGTTGACAGGATATAATTTCACAAACTTCGTAAAAGCATCGATGATAACTAAAAAATGTTTATTCTTCGAATTAATGGACGGAAGGGACCTAGGTGATCAATATGGATTGTATCGAATGGGATTGGAGCTTTAGGTATACTATGAAGCGTTTTATTATGAATACCTTTTGGAACTGAATGTAGAATACATTGTAAACAATTCTTAATAAACAGATCGACCTTTCTCCTCATACCGGGAAATCAATACTTTTCTTTCAGTTTATCGACACATTTGTCTGCCGCGAAATGACCTAATTTTTCGTGGAATTTCTTAATTTTTTCTTCCTACATTCGGCTTGGAACACACATACACAGTTCCTCATGATCTTTCGATCTATATACTATCCCAATTTTATCATTCTCTAGCTTCTTTCTCAATCGACGAATTTCGGGATCTCTTATCTGCAAAAGTAAATCAATGTCATAAGGGGAGGCACCTATAATTCCAATAATCTCTTCAACATTTGGAGCGAATATAACGGATTTTCGACGTTTAGAACTACAAGGAACAACAGGTCTTCTAGGTTCACACGGATCCGTAGTTGCAGAAGGAACACAAGAAAAGAAACAGTTTTTCTACAAGGTCCAGAAAGATCGCAAGGTTCAAGAGAATCAAAAGGTTCAGAAGGTACAACAGATCTGGACAAAATACCAACCACCTCGCTTAGTAACTCTGTTTGTCTACTCAGCGCACCTACATGGGCCATGTTCGAGCCCGGCCTATAGGCTATTGAATAATTAAAGCTTTCCAGTTCAAGGGACCTACGGGAAATACGAGGATTTATAGATTTTTTACTCAAGGCTTGAACCAAGGAACTACAATCGGTTACTATTAAAAAAGGCGTATGTTCTAGGTATATTCTGAAACGGCGCAAGGCATATAAGATTGCTAAGGTTTCAAGTTCAAATCTATGATAACGAGACTCGGCTGCAGTGGCCTTTCTTGAGTAGAAGAAAACAGAATGTAGTTTCTTGTCTGGTTGTCGCTGCATTAAAACAGTTTTTATATTGAAGATTAATATTGACACAACCGGATGACTGGATTGCTCTGTCCCGACATTGGAAATGTCGGAAGCGCAGAAGGTCAGTTAAGGGCTTTGCTACTTGTGAAAAATTTCGAACGAATTTCCTAAAGTATGAAAACAATTCGAGACAGGAATGTACTGTCTTTCTATTAACTGGTTACGGATAGTGCTTAATAGCAGTTAAATGTGTATCATTAAATAAGATTCCTTGAACGGTTACATTGTAAACTAGGAATTCTATCCTCTTCTGCAGGAAACTACCTTTTTTTTAAATTTATTTCGAGGTTTAACTCAACTAATCGATCTAGCAATCTTGCTAATATTGTTTTATGTTCCTCCACGGAGTATGATGCTAAGATAATATCGTCCATATAAACAACTATCGCCGGTTCTTGACAAAGTCTCTTAAAGCGCCAGCAATAAATCTCTGAAAAAGAGCTGGACCATTCTTAAGCCCAAAACACATTCTCAAGTATTCAAATTGACCATCTTTAGTTACGAACTCAGTATGGTAGGTAGGTAGGTTGCAGTGATGAGGCCCATTGCTGGGGCCTCCAATTAGAGCTAAGCTCCTTTTTGTTCCACTCCCTCTGTTTGTTGTTGATTATAATCAGTACCATCCAGAGTCAGCCAGGAAACCTAGGATTGCCGAAACTTTCAGCTTTCCTATGTTTCTCAGTGACTCCATCTGGTAGGCACCGAAGTGGCGAAATCTGATGTGGTTTAGCGCTGGGCAGAAGCAGAGCAGATGTTCCGGTATCTCTTGCTCTGTAGGTTGCCTACAGCTTCTACAGATTGCGTTGTGTGGCAGTCCCAACTTCATTGCGTGCGAACCGATCGCCCAATGTCCCGTGGTGAGTGCCGTGAACCTGCTGATATCCCGCTTGCTGTTGGATAGCAGTTCCCTGGTTCGCTTCCTATCGTACCTCGGCCAGCATTCCCTTGACCTTCTGTGATCACTCTTGCTTTGCCATTCTTTATTGGCTATCTGCCTAAAGTGGTCATGGATCGTTGTCTGGATCGCGTTTAGGGAGATCGGTAATTCGAAGTCAGAACTTAGCCCTGCCGAGCCTGCACGGGCTAGTTCGTCTGCCTTCTCATTTCCTGGGATCTCGTTGTGTCCCGGTACCCAAGTTACGTGTACCTTATATTTGTCGGCAAGTCTATTAAGAGCCTTCTTGCATTCTGCCACAAGTCGTGAGTTCGTTTTCACGGCAGATAGGGATTTTATAGCCGCTTGGCTATCCGAGTAGATTCGAACTCTTTTGCCCCTGAGGTCCTGCCTTAAGGATAGTTCGACTGCTTCCCTTATGGCTAGTAACTCAGCCTGAAAGACCGTCGCTGAGTTAGAGAGTTTGAAAGCCTTTTCAATTCTCCAATTTTCAGCGAAGATCCCAGCCCCTACGCCGCAGCTCATTTTTGAGCCATCGGTGTAGAGGGACACCTCGTTCTCCACTACTACTCTGCCCCTACTCCAGTCTTCCCTTGATGGGTATGATGTCGAGAATGCATTCCCGAATTTCATTTCCGCGATCATGTAGTCGGTCTTTACGTCTGTGTTAATGCCACTGTTTACAAGGATCTTGCCGTGCCCGGCGCCGTAGTCCCTCCAGCAATTGCTCGCCTTCAGTCTTACTGCGCTCTGTGCCGCAGTGTCCTTCACGAACAGCTCTATCGGCATTATATCCAGGATGGCGTTGAGAGCTGCCACGGGGCATGAGCGCATTGCACCCACTGCCCCCGCACTCGCTGCCCGTTGCATCCGTGTCAGCTTCGTTCTGTTGTAAGCCCTAGTTAGTGCCGGCCACCATACTAGGGATCCGTATGTAAGAATTGGTCGTACCACTGCAGTGTAGAGCCATAAAATTATCTTTGGGTGCAGTCCCCATTTGTTTCCAAACATTTTCCTGCAGGAGTAGAATGCGATGCTTGCTTTCCTTACTCTTTCTGCAATGTTATCTTTCCATAAGAGCTTTTTATCCAGAATAACTCCTAGATACTTCGCTCGCTCCGATAGTTTTAGCTCCACGCCGTTAATACTGGGCATGTTGAAGGGTGGTATCTTAGTTCTTCGCGTGAAGAGCATAAGTTCCGTTTTAGTGGGGTTGATACCTAGTCCGCAGGTTTCTGCCCATTTGTTTAATCGACCTAGCGCACCCGTCATTATTTCGCTAATAACGTCAGGGTATGGTCCTGATACGAGCAGTACTACGTCGTCCGCGTAGGCAACTGCTTTGACTCCACCCGTATTGAGGTCTGTCAATATGGCGTTCATATTTGTGAGCCAGAGTAGGGGCGATAGTACCCCGCCCTGAGGTGTGCCTCTCTTCACAGTCCGCGTGAGGTGAGTGCCACTCAGTTCGGCTGTGATCGTCCTGCTCTTTAGCATGACTCCGATCCACTCTCTGATGCCTCTCTCAATACCTAGCAAGTTGAGGGAGTCCAGGATAGAGTCGGGGTTCACGTTATTGAACGCGCCTTCGATGTCTAGGAAGGCTGCCACCGTGTATTGTTTGTGTTGTAATGTCTTCTCGACATGATGTACAACTACGTGTAGCGCTGTTTCCGTTGATTTTCCTCTGCGGTACGCATGCTGCGCATCCGAGAGTTGATGTCCTTCTAGAGATTCTCGGATGTGGACGTCCAGGAGTCTCTCTAGTGTCTTCAGGGCGAAGGAGGTGAGACTTATCGGTCTATAATCCTTTGCTAGGATATGCCCCCTTCTGCCCGGTTTGGGTATGAAAATGACTTTAGCCTCTCTCCACAACAGTGGGATGTGCGTCAGTCTTAAACACGCTTCGTAAATGGCTTTTAGCCATTTGCAGATGCTATCCTTGGCTGATTGTAGCATTGCCGGTATTAAGCCGTCTGGGCCCGGGCTTTTATACTTATCGAAAGAATCTATTGCCCACTGAATTCGCTCCGTGGTAATGATGTCTTTCGTAGGTGTATCCATTTGAGAGTTCGTTCCCTCCTCGGGTTCCGAGATCACTCTTAGGCTTCCTGGGAAGTGGGTGTCAACT